TCCCGTCGAAGTTCTCCATCTCATCCCACCACCTTAGTCCGCCACCGCCGTCCGCCACCCATGTCCGTGGCCCCAAACCCGTCGCAACTACCTCTGCACATTCATTACTCGACCTGACCTCCGCGGCCAAGCTACTCCGGCTGTTCAAGGGAAGTCCGAGGCCATTCTACTTCCCCGCTTGATAATGTCCGGTGACGGGAATAAGCATTTTAGGGGTGAGATGATTAGGGTGGGATGAGCCCAATTTCAGAAATTAGGGCTGGGAAGGGGATGGGCATTTTGTTTTGTAAATTAGATAGCTTGAAGGGACCTAATTGTATATTAAGAAGTTTTAGCTATATTTCAATTGAGTACATGGGCCAAATTTGTAATTTATAAAAAATATAATACAAAAAAAATATTATTTTATTTATATAAAAACATATTTTTGTACATATATGTTATAATTTTTTTCAACCAAAAATAATATAAAACATTAAATAAAAAAAATTAAATAGAAAATATATTTTTTATAATATAAATAATAAAATATTTTAATTATTTAGGTTAATTCGACTAGCCAACTGAATAATCCTATTATTCGGTTCGATTTTAGGTTGAAATACCACATAAAAAAATAATAAAAATATACTAGAAATCAGAATGCACAATAGTGTAAAACATGATGCACATTAGTGACTTTCAGACTGCACAATAGTATTAGACCAAATGCACATTTATGCATTCGATATGCGCATTAACATAACAAGTGCGACTTTATACACAAAAAAAAAAACAATCAAATAATAGAACCGAACAAACTATATAAATAATATAATTTTTATATTATAAATGATAATATAAAATATTAAATAAAAAATATAAATAGTAAATATATTTTTATAAAAATGTCTGCACTTTGATTGCGCATCATTGTTATACGAATTGCACATTATTGACTACCAGGTTGCACTATAGTCGTCAAGACAAACAGACAAAGTTTTGGGTTCGAACTTTATATATTGGGTTGAGTATATATATATTTGTACTATTAAAATTTCAGGTATTCCGGCTGATGTCAGCTTTATTGTTTACACAAATCAAACCGACCTACTGTATAAAAAAATTAGTATT